TGTATATATATATATGTATATTTGGCTAATTGTCTGAAATTTGTAAAAGTAGTTCCCAGGATCAGTGTTTCCAACCGTGTCCTTTGCTTTGATGATGGAATACGTGCTTGTAGACAGGTACGTGCACTGGATATGGTTTCGGAATGGGCACTGGAAAGTGCTTTTCAACTGTCACTGGATACGGCTTCTCAACAATGTACGGTACCTGCAGAATATTAATATTTTAGTAATCTTTGTACAACATATCTCTGTACAACATAATCCCCGAATTACAATATGTACGTACAATGAGGTCGGAACGTAAGTAATTTTATGCTATATATCGCGAGAATGAAATTTCATAGCATCATATTGGAATAGACTCCGTTGCTATATCTGACGTTATAAATTAGGATTTCGCAAACTGCATAGAGAGTGACCCAGTATTGAAGATACATTCAAAGAGGAGATGATATTAGATGAAAAAATGGATCTTCTTCATTTAAGGCTTCGTTCTTAAGAAAATCAATTGTTTGATTGGAATTAAAAAATTCAAGGAAATACGAAATATGAAATTCGAAAATGGCGACTTGAGTGAAAAATTCACTGTTATTCTTTATTTTTTATGTAGAATCATTCGCTCCTTGGTTGTACTTCGTATAATATTAATATTTATCTCACAAGTATATATTATATGAACTTTCAACAATTGAACGTGATATAAAGTAAAAAAATTTGATCTCACCTTTTTCTCCACTACATAGGGCTCTGGCTTTTCTACTGGAATTTCGACATGCTTGACAACTTCCACTGGTACTGGATGCGGTACTGGCACTTCGACTTGATACGGTTGCGGAATAGGGACTTTAATTTGCTGTGGAATTGGGACTGGAACTGGATGTGGAATTGGTATGGCGTACTTTTTGTAAATGGGAATTTCCACAGGCTTTGAGGTTTCGTGGTAGGTGGAACTGCCATGGTCCTCTTCGTAGGAGGCGTACACCAAAGTAACTAAAGCGGCGAATACCTATAGTTGTTATTTAGTTAGTTCGTGGAGATTATGATAGTGATACTTTACTACTTGATATCTTATACAACGAAAATTCTCTGATGAAATTCTCTGCTGTTTGAGACGAGATAATCCTTAGCAAAACATTGGTGATTTAAAACTTACAAGAATCCTCATGGCTTCCACACCTGATGATCACGCTAGAACGAATCCTCAGCAATCCGCCGTGTTAACTCGTTACGATCACTTTGATGCTTTCAAAGTCACGGCCAAGTGCTTATATACCAAAGTCACTTTCTCCCTTCTCTTCATTACCTTTACTCTTTCTGCTCGTCGCGAAGTTATTCGTATATGTATACGATCTCTACGATTGTCTACACAGATATACTACATTTGCCTGTGGCTGACTCCTCGTACTTCCTATCATTTGTACGCCATAAATTTATTATACAACAATTTTGAGGATAGAAAACTTAACTTTCTATATTGCAGATTTAGAGTGTCTTGTTAGTGGATCAATGATTAAGAGGGTCACGAGTGTCAAATAGAGCAATATTTTCCATTTTCACAATTTTTACAAAGAACGATACGTAATTCGTTAATAAATTTCTTTGATATTGAGTATATAAATTCGAGCGAAAAATTTTTGATAATTATTTTACGTCTAAACGTTTCATTTTAAACGCAGAGGACATAGAATGATTTAGTGAACCGAGGTAAATGCAACTCAGTTATAGCCTAATTCCTATGCTTAATAATTTGTTATTAACGATTTGAGATTGAAATAGTGCATCACGCAATTTCCAAAGAATTTTTTTCACTGTAATTTTGGTATATTTTCTACAGAGATCTTTAGCAATTTATATTATCCGCGTAAAATTATGTAAATCTTTTAACGAAGCAAAATTTCCCTAATCCCAGGGCATTAAGTTTAATGTCGAACAACACCTGTAACCCAATAATTTACGCATATGTATACACACACTTGTAATATATATATATATACTTAGCGTAATTGTATGTACAGTGTATCGAATCTCCATCGATCATCTCGAGGAAAGAAAATCGGACTTTCGAATGAAGCTTCACGTTTTCTTCCTTCGACATTCGGATATGTTTACCTAGAGTGAAATAAGAATCTAACAAGTTTTATGCGTAGTAGCTCATAGATGTAAATTTTTCGAGATGCAATCACGTTAACAGGATAGAGATATTTATATTTAATATATTTAATATAGATTATCATGAGAAAAATATATATATATATATCAGAGTTGTCTGGTCTGGGAGAGAAGTTGCCTGGAAGATTCGAATTGTACCTTCGTGATATTCTCCGTATCAGCAAGCGGAACAGTGAAAGTGTATCTCAAGTAAAAGTGGTTTTGTGCTGCGATGTAGGAACGCGTCTGTTGTCGGACTTATTATGGCGAATCAAGATCGCATAGAATTCCTATTGGTGACTGGTTGGTTTCTAGTAGATTCGTAACACCGGATGACGAAGAAACGAAATTTATGGTTACGCGTTTCCTTTTTATTCCTCAAGCGGCCGCGAACAGGAAGAGACGAAACGATCAATCGTTTCCCCGAGGCCGGTAACTACGACTATTGTTGCAGTTCAATTTCATTGCTACTCGTTTGACGAACTGGTTGCTCGGCTATCAGAATAAGCAAAGAGACAAGAGGTACTTTTCAAATGTGGTTTATTAACAAAGAGTTGGCAGGGAGGGGAAACTTAACAAATTTGTAACAAACAAAGGCAACATTTAACACTAATGTCAAGATTCGAGTCTCGTGTCCCTTTTCCTTGGCATTCGTTGCGAAGTAATCTAAACGATATTCACTGAATGGAATAAGTTTAGATTTCAGGTGAGAAGCAGCTCTCTCTCGTAAAACGATCAGTCCGGCGAGGAACAATTCCCAAGTGTTCAGTAGCGAGCGAATCAACTTAGTGCCATCCTTTGCCCTTCGAAGTGTAATGGAATACGTGCTTGTAAACTGGCACATGAACTGGATACGGCTTGGCGACTGGAATGGGGAATTTCTTTTCGACGTACACTGGATACGGCTTCTCCACCACAAAAGGTACCTAAATAGACACGATGTGCGATATAGTGACACGTGATACAGTTATCGCGATCTAACGTTCTGCAAACGGTAGCTTCATCACTGTTCGATAATTTGATGTTTCTACTTACGTGCTTTTCCACGACAACGGGCTCTGGCTTTTCGATAGGGACTTCGATGTGTTTCACGACTTCGACCGGATAAGGGTGTGGAATTTCGATGGGAACTTGTTGCGGTTGGGGAATTGGAATTTCTATCTTTTGAGGGATTTCGACTGGCACCGGATGAGGGATTGGAATTGCTGCAATTATACAACGAGTAAATAATCATTATATATACATTTGAAGGAAGCAGTTTTTGTTTCCTTTATATATAAATATTTACCATATTTCTTGTAAATTGGAATTTCTACTGGCTTCGTCTTTTCTTCGTAGGTGGAGCTTCCGTAATCTTCATCGTGGCTCGCAGAGACAATCGCAGCTGTCATCGCGAAACCAAGCAAAGCAATCTATCAACATTCGATTAATAACCTTAAATTACATTACGGCTTATTAATTTCTGTTCTCTGTTGAATAGTCAATCGAATCAAGGGATATATGAGGTAATTACAGGCTTAATTTTCTTCTAACAGGAGCATATAATCTACATTTTCAATCAATTTAAGGTAACTACTATTACGTAATGTATCTAATGTTTTTAAAGTTACGCGCTTGTCGCATAAATCTTACAATTTGATTCATAGTTGTAGGTCCAGAAAAGATGTTTATTGTTTAAGCACAAAGCGTTGAATGTCTACAGCAATGGAATACCGAGCTTATATACTAACATCGATTCCACCACCTTTCACTGATTCTATACACTACAGTCTCGACCCTTTCTAGCATAAGTATATCGAATTACGTTTTACCATCTACCAATCTTCGAACGAACTGTATGCACCGTTGATGAATATGAAAGGTCCTTGTTTTACTTTTCATGCGGCTCATTGACCGTTCTCTGTTCTATGGCTGACCGGAAGTCACGATTACGTGTATTTACGGACGTGGGAAGTGCACCACGTAAAAGCATCTCGTCGTTGGGATCGCACTTTCTTTTTCATTAAATGAAATGGCTTCATTGAAAAAGTCATATCTTTGCTTACAGATAAATACGTTTTTTTTAATGTTATCCTACCTATCAACGATGAATCCAAGTGCTTCCAACGCAAGGATTTAAGAAACTGAGCGAATGTAGAGTCAAATTTTGTTTGATGCCTTGGAGCGCAATGATCGGTAAAGCGGAAGGTTCTAGATGCAACCGCAAATTCGCGATTGCCACGTTTACCGGAAACACGAATGCCTTGTGCGGTCACGAAAATTTCCAGAGCTAATTCGGCGGCCAAAGCGAAGAGAACGTCCCTCATGTTTGGAAATAAATATCTGAAAGGATCATTACGATGAGAAGCTCATTAAGTATACGCGTGCAATTATGTAATTATACGTCTTCTTCGGACAGTTCAATTTGTATGCAATGTTGTTCGACATTCGATTTCTGCTTCGTGCTCGATGAATCTATAAATCTCAGGTATACCGGAAGTGAAGGTGAGAAGCGGTCTCTGACGTAAAGATACTTAAAGTGAATAAAAGTTTTCGGACCAGATATGAAAGTCCAAATGCGTTCGCCTTGTGAAAGGATTCTTGATGAAAAAACTGATCGGACACGCCGATCTTTGTTCCTGTAAAAGTAAATTTCTGTTTTATTTCAAAGGCGAGGTATGCTGATCGAGAGGCGAGAGACTCAGAAAGTGTGTCTATCGTTTTCCTCGATTTATAATTTTTGCTACACTTTAGGGAAATACCAAACTATTTTTAATTCAGCTTTTTATTTTAATCGTGAATTAAATCTTGACTGCACGTTGACGTCTTATTGCTTAACGATGCAATTTGGTAAATTTCTAGTTTAGTGGCTTTCCCTAATTTTGACTTTTAATGTTCCATGTTTTTTAATAAAATAGAAATAAAAAGAAATGCTAGATCTCAAATTCTTCAATATGGAGCTATCTGGAATAAAACGAAAAAAAAAA